ATTTCTTCCTGGAAATTTGGAAACGTCCAAATATAGATTCAGACACTTGATTTTAGCAAACCCCTGATTTTAGAAAACCCTTACAACTTCAGACCAGCTTTAGCAAGCAACGCTAAGTGGCAAGCAATTGCAGTGCACATTGCTTGCCAAGAGACTACAGGCTCATATTGTCTTCCCATCTGCCCCACTCATCTCTCCTCTTTTGCTTTCTGCCCTCGCCATCCTGATCCGAAGCTTTCAGCCTTTTGCTGGACGGGCTGTGGCACTTGCTCGGATCTGCCAGGTGAGGAGCAGAGCTCTGCTAGCAAGGAGTCACTCGGGAAATCAGGCTGTGGGCCAAATGATGTCTGCTACCCAAAGATATGCCTGCTTCTTATGAGCTAGGAAAACCAGGAGGTTATTTGAGCTTTTAGAGTGTTCTTTCTTTGTTTATTGCTGGCCAAGGAGTTTGTATGGCTGTGTTGTAAACTCTGATATCCGTTGTTTCCAGCTGCATTATAAAGCAGAATTAGAATAAATGTAGGCTAGGGTATCTGTGAAAGAAACTTCTGATGATACAGCATTTATATGAAATATGTAGCTTTGATAGTTAGCTCTAATACCTTTGTATATAGTAAGCCAAAAAAAAGTGTTAATTACTTTATTCCTGCCAACTTAAAAAACAAACAAAAAGATTCCTTCTGGCCAGGTACAGCCTTTGCCAAATACACATTTCAGTTAAACATTGCTGTGTTTACATTTCTAGATAATAAAATTCTTTGGTTTACGGACTGCCAGAAGATAGAAAGCTGAGATTAAAGTCTCAGATTTGATTGGATTTGTCGTAAAGTAAAAGTAATCATGAAACAATGAATATTTAATAAATTTTCAGCTGTTAGTGTTTTTTAAAGAAGTTTGAGCTTTTGTCATACTTGCTATCTTCTCTTCTCTTTGTAATGCATCAGAGCGTCTGGTTGCTATTAAATGTTTTCATTAATTTGATGGAGGATTAAGATTAGTAGATCTGTCTTTAGGGAGCCTGTCCATCGGTGACAATGGCACAAAAAACAACCCGCTGCTTAGATTTCTACCTTCTGGATATTGATTTTATAGAAATCATACAAAGAATAATATTGCCAGGATAAAAATTTGTTGGGCATGGATTGCATTTGTAACAAGCATCTCTTTTCTTGTATGGTCACCCAGCTGTCCATCCACAGAAGTATGAGACACTAGAGATGTTTTTTTTCATCTTTCCACCTTGTTTTTGGTAAACTTGGCCTTAACATCTTTTGAAACAGTATTTTATGAGTTGTTTAGGATGTTTACATTGTCTTCATTATGCCAGTATCTTGCAATTCAACATCTTCATGCCTCTACCTCACAGTTTACCTGTAAGTGCCATTATCTCCACATCACAGAAGAGAAATTGTAGGACCGAGTGATGAAAACCATTATCACAAGGGTTTTAGGAGTCAACCCCCCAAAAAGATGGGTCAAATCCTATCTTACCTCTTGACCCATCCAGCATTTCCCTTTTCTCGAGGCATGAGGTTGCCTGTGGCTTGGGCTGTGCCGTCCGCTCAGGCCACTCTTGGTAGGATGCTTATACGTCCCATCCGGCAACGTGGCTTACCTTATTAGAGCGCTCTCAGGAAGACCCTTGCAGCCTGTTATGGAAGCCAACCAGGTGATGGCCCTGGTGACAGGCATGAATTCATGCATAGTTCTGCTCCAAAGAGTAGAGTGTATCCAGAGTTTCTCCTGCGTAATATGATTTGAAGTTTGTTTCACACCTCTGACTGAATCCATGTTGCGTCTGCAAAAACATGATGCAGATTTTTTTGGAGCTGTCTCTTAAGACCTTTGAAAAAACAGATTATGATAGAGTCTTTTTAGCAGAATAACAGATTGGTTGTGCGTTTATATTGGATAGCTGCACATGGCAGGCATGTCAGACAGTAAAAGGATGTAAAATGTTACTGCTCCATTAAAAAATACTTTCTCACATAATTTTTCTTACATTTCTGGTAGTATACATTTGTAACTTGCATGGAGTATTTCGCCTATGAGTCTCAAAAAACATATATTATTGTGTATTTAGCGCTTAATTCAATTTCCACCAAAGGCAAGGACAACATTTCCCCATTCTTCATTGTACTTGTTTCAAGTCCTCAAAGCAAATTCTACCTGTTTAAAGTAGAATTGATTCTAATCTGGCCACATAAAGCCATAGATTTTTTTCAGCTTTTTGTGGATTTCTGAATTATTAGAATGATCAAATCCAGTAATTCTACTTTCAAACTCACTGGTGATGTGAAAGAGCTAGTTGTCCAGCAAACTGGATAGTTGTGCCAGTTGCTTGTTGTCTACAGAAGACACGTTCAGCTCCTTTTTATTTTTATTTATTTTTATTTTAATGCTTTGCCGCAGGGCTGCACTAGGATGAATTTGCTCTTATAACATGACTTAATTTTGGAGAATCCACAGCGATATGCCTGTGCCTGATTTTCTTTTGTGCTATCTTCAGAACAACAAGTCTATGGGGTATCTGACGCTGGGCTTTTTCCAGTGATTTATTAACTGTGTCAGAAGAGCTGTTGTGAATGCTGGGAAGCTCTTGTATATTGTGACAGTTGATATTGATTATGACAGTTTGTAGACTCCAGTGTGTTGTCAGACAGTGGATAGTATTTTGTCCCCTTACTATACATACCAGGGACTATAGATCATAGTGTTTTCTTAAGAAAAGGGCCCATTGTCCAGTCTTCTCGTTCCTCGCTGGTATGAGAGAAGTTGTGTAGCGTATTGTGCAACAAATAGCAAAATGCTTTGGGCACCCTATGGAACAGCTAGGCAAATGTCGATTGCTTTCTGGAAAAAAAAATGTGAATAGTTTGTGCTGCTTCTGTTCTTTCGGTGGAAAAAGCCACGCAGTTGACAGAAGGGGGTAAACTAGTCTGAGTCTGTCAGTTGAGAAAATAAGATGCATCCTGTATTATCCGTTGTCCAGAAATCCAAGCTTATAATGAGGGCTTCGGTCCTGATAATTTTTAAAGGTTGCATTCAGCGTCTTTGTGCCTTCATGGAGACTGAAACTACATATTTCTAGAATGGGTTTGAGGAAGAGGAAATGCAAGATTTGCACAAGCTTGAGAGAGAGGGAAAGCTGGCAAGTGAGCTGGTCTGATGGACACATCACAAAGATCACCCCAAACAGCGACTTCTTATTGCTGTTTGTTTTTAGCGAGGCAGTAGTAAAGCAGCACAGAGGAGGAAAAGTTTTCCTATTTGCCGAAAAGCTGCTTCAGTGTGAAAGGAAAACAGTCAACAGCTGAGCTTTTACAGACACCCTGATCAGGAGTTGAAAGCCAATTGGTTTATTATGCTGTTCTAAATTATTCTATTGCTACTGTACTACTGGAAGAAAAATCTTCCAGCAATGCATTTATTTTTAAAACAAATAGCACTTTAGGTGCACCAATGACAGGGAATAGAAAAGGGGCCACTATGATTTTTCTGTTCTTGAAAGATCTTTCATAACAGCCCAAAACGGATCATAAACTTGTTCACACCTTAGATAATACTCCCTAGGAAAATGACCTTTAGAAATCTGTGCTATTCAAATTTTGATTTCACGTTGATTTTAGATTGATTTAAATGCAGCTACTGCTGCGATTTTATGTTCAGGTGACACAAAATGAGTTTCCATACATACCTTCTGGTGTAGTTAAAATAAATGTGACAGCCAGTCACATGTGAAGTTATATTATCTCAGGGGCACTTTAGGCCAATAATATGGCACTGGGCTGGGACCTGGGAGAACTGGATTCTAACACCTCTGTGGGCCTGATATTTGCCATTTAAATCAGTTAATTTCTCTGTCTGATTCCCCATTTTTGGTCATTTGTTTACACCATAAGATTTTTGGAAAGAAACGTTTCTTATTAGCTATATACTCCCTATTTGAATGCGGTCTTGATCTCTGCTGGGATTTCTAGGTGCTGTTACAATACTACCCGTACTTTGTGTAATGTGGTCTGTATTTTCTTAGTAAAATACGGTGGATCAGCAAAAATGAAGTCCTCAGTGGTAGCGAAGAGACAGAATTGAGCTAAGTGTTTTGATTTCAGTGATGATGCAATTTCCCATTCCATACTCACATAGAATTTGTATTAATTACAGCGTTGCCTGTGTTTAATAATTATCTTTCATAATGAAAGAACACTTCATAATACAAATTATGTTCTCTATAATCCTAGGAGTGTACCAAGTTTTTGCAGTGGCATCTCTCAGTCTGGTAGTAGGTATTAGTACTGTGTATATATTTAAGTTTTTTATTGCAAAACATCCATGACAATATCAGAAATGCTGTAAAAGAAAGATAATTGGAACTATTTTTAAATGCCTGTGGACATTACGGACTTATTTGATTTGGGTCACTTTCTCTAATTTCGTAAAGATTTTTGAAAAAGTTCAAAGGTGAAGAATGAAGACGTTCCAATGTTCAAATGTGAAGAGTTGTTTCCTTAGATGAGTTATATCTAAAGCTCTGGTAACAGTTCTCTGCCCCTGGATAGTTTTGCCTCCTTAAGTGTGAGACCACTCCTGGAGAAGATAATTTTGGTATTGTGCTGTGAAAAGTGACAGCTTCCCAACACCAGCTGTCGACTTGCAGTGACTTGTCTTAACATACACGTAGTTTCTATCAAGAGAGCTCCCTTTCCCGTGAGCCATGTCACAGCTGTCAGACAGTCTCTTTGCTCGCTCGCCATTTCCAGGTGCTTGCCTGGGAAGTTCTCCAGGTGCGCGGGGCTCTCCTAGCTGCCTCTAGTCCTTTGAGTTGTAATCGTTTTCTCTTTTGTTTTCCTGATACGCAAAATAAGGCATTGATTTGCACTGCAGAAGGTGGATACCTTTCCTTCTCACATCCTGGTGCACTGAAAGGCTGTGCAGGTCCCTTGTCCGTGGGCTGAAGCCTGTTCTCTTGAGTCACTCTTCTCTCTCGCTCTTCCCTTCAGATGGTGTCCACAGTGTCACGGCGGTCTGCACCCTGCGTGTCACCATCATCACGGACGACATGCTCACCAACAGCATCACGGTGCGACTGGAAAATATGTCCCAGGAGAAGTTTCTTTCTCCCCTCCTTTCTCTGTTTGTGGAGGGGGTGGCGACAGTGCTGTCCACTGCCAAGGACGGCGTTTTCGTTTTCAACATCCAAAACGACACAGACGTCAGCTCCAATATCCTCAACGTGACGTTCTCGGCGTTGCTTCCGGGTGGTATTCGAAACAAGTTCTTCCCCTCTGAGGATCTTCAGGAGCAGATCTACCTCAACAGGACCCTGCTGACCATGATCTCCACGCAGAGGGTGCTGCCCTTTGACGACAACATCTGCTTGCGGGAGCCCTGTGAGAACTACATGAAGTGTGTGTCTGTGCTGAAGTTCGACAGCTCCGCTCCATTTATCAGTTCAAACACCGTCTTGTTCCGCCCCATCCACCCCATCAACGGGCTGAGGTGCCGGTGTCCCCCAGGGTTCACAGGTGACTATTGCGAAACGGAGATTGACCTCTGCTACTCCAACCCATGTGGTAACAATGGGCTGTGTCGGAGCCGAGAAGGGGGCTACACTTGTGAATGCTACGAGGACTACACTGGTATGTGTTTATCTTATCTATTGCCCATGATTTATATGTTAGACCATCAACTGAGCCAGCTCTGTATCAAGCTGAAATTGCTGACATTCTTACTCAAAGGGGGAAAAACTCCTGACACTAACTTCTGCCGGAGAGTAGGCTTTTACGTGTCACACGTCACTCAGAATAAGTCCTGTATCTCTGCACACGTGATTATAGGAACCGTGAGTCGCACCAGGCCTTTGCAGGGGACCCTATAGTTGCTGAAATGATTCTAGTTACATGCATTTTTGCTCAAAACGAACGTTTGTGCAAACATCCCTTGAACACATCCCTTCATTTATGGTTTTATGTTGTAACTGCTTTCTGGCCCCTCAGCCATGCCGCAGACAGACAGCGGGCCTCCCGCTGTGTGTCCGTTCAGGATGCAGCAGAAGCGGGTGTTACCAGTTAACAGAGGTGTTGTGCGGCCTTAGTAACAGCTCATCAGTCCCCCTGTGCAAGCGCAGAACATAAGGATGGTTCATGTTCCCAAGCGCTTGCAATAATATACATTTATGGGAAACACTTCAGGTCAGCTTCAGCTTGTAAATATCCAGATGAACTCCAGAAAGACATAGGGTCTTGCAGGCTTGTTCTAGACCTGTCTCTAGCAGCCTGGCGATGAGGTTACTTGGCCTCATAATTTACTTGACAGCTAATAAAGATCAAACTGCTGCTTCTCAAATACACTTGAAGAGTTATAAAGAATATTAACTGAACGTTTTCTGGTACTTCAATAAAGTCAGAGGGATTATTTATGTTTGAAATTGTGCACACATTTAAGCGTTCTGCACCTAAGTGCTGCCCAGCTGTATTTTATGCTAATGTTGCAGGAATGTCTGCTTTAACCGCTGCAGTTATTAAAAATTGAGAAGATAAATTATTCAAGTCTTTGTATAAAAAACGGCTACACAATGTGCATGCCTACTGGGATGGATCAAACCCTCTAAGTGGAAGGGTTTTCCTTCACTTTCCGTGGCTTTTGGCTCAGGGCTATAGTTAAAAATGTGATGGTGAGAGGAGACAACTGTCAGTGAGCAGGGAAACGGCAGCAGCAAGTAAACGAGGGCTTTTTCCCCGCGAGAGGAACAGGACGAGGGGTTCCCCCAGGTCAGAGGGGGCTCAGGACAGCAGGAGCCTCATAAAGTACAGGAGACAAACCGCTTTACCTAGCCGGTGAAATCCTGAATCTGGCTGTGAGATGGCTGGGACTGACAGTCTTTGCTGATTTTCCTGCCAGACCTCTCACGAGTGACTTACGCAATGGAATAAACTGTAAAGGCCATTTTCCCTTGAGAGTAGTTGATGCAAACTCTACGCAGCATTGGGCATCACAAAATAGATGTTATGACCAGTTCATTTCATTTAACGTGTTCATGTAATAAATAGTATAAATAGGAATGGTTATGAGTAGCAAGTCTCATTAAACAAAAATGTGCCTGTAAATAAACTTAACTCATCCATGACTTAGGTTTTGGGATCATATGCATTCCTGTCTATCAGGTTTTGAGGATCTTGTGCTAGAAATCTCTGAAAAAAAGGCTGAACGTGCTAAAAAATTAGAGAGGGTAGTATTATTCATATAAATAAGTCATGAACATATTTAATAATTGACACTGTACTCAGAGCCGACATGGTACGCATTTAGAGGAGATGCACCATGTTACTCCTACACAAAGAACGATGTGGTCCGTCGCTGTCCCCCAGGGCGGCATGCCTGGACTCCTTTAGCCAGGGCGGCTTTGCAGGGCCAAGGCTGGCATGTTTCTCCCCACGGCCCAAGAGTCGGGACAGCCGGGAGAAATCGCACCAGCCCTATTCAGGAAGGCTCTAGGATCCTTTAACCTGTAAACTGATACGCGTATTATCAAATACTCCCGTTTTATTGGGGAATGCATGCGGCTGAAGTTTAATATCTATTCTGTGGTTAGCTGATGTTACATTAGTCCCTTTAGGCTCAATGTCGCGTGACAATGTTTTTTCCACTAAGCCTGACACACTTACCCACATGTGGTGGTCATTAGGTGGCAGTTGTTTTTCATCCCCTTTACTGAACGGAGTGGAAAATGTTATCAACAAATAATATATTACCATTACCAGAAATATTTTATAAAATTCGTGATCCATTATTGAAACTTGTCCCAATCTTCTTTAAGAACTATGTTATTTTATCCGTGATTTTTGTCCTTTTTGAAATAAGTTCAAATCCATTTTTAAGTTCAATTTATATCTGTTAATCATAATGTTATGTTTTCCAGTCATATAAAAATGTTTATGGTTTACAACGATACAGATTTTATGTCTATTTAATATTTACAGAGCAGGGTTTTTTTCTAATTAACAGCAGTGCATATTGAATTATATAATGTGATGATAGTAAATGAGAAGGACTAGAACAGTGTTTGGCTGATAAATAGAGAATTGCTATGGCTGAAAGTTGAGAGATTCTGCCTTTACAGAAATGTTACAGTGATTTAACTCAGTGTAGTGACATATAAGTATGAGTTACTTATGAATCTTTGAATCAATTGTAAAAGATGAAATATGAATGGTAATAGTCAATGAGATGCAGCCTGCTCTGGAAGCTCTGAAATTTCAGGTTCCCAATTAAGAGCCTATGTAGAAAACTAATTGCAAGAAAATACTAATAGCTGTCATCTCTTTGGTAAGATATACTGAAAGTCGATGATAAATCACTACACAGTCACAACCCTGTACCAAATCTGTCTGACTGGTCACCTGTTAAAAATATAGTATTTATTTCCTGGAGAAGATAATTATGTCCTATCTTAATCGGATGGAATTTCCCCCCATTTTTCTACCCTGCTTTGAAGCTCTCCATTTGTTTTGATGTAATTGTTAGTCATTTATACACGATGAAAGTTCCTCTTTCTTCAGGAGTCTTCTGTTACTAGCACAAATGTAAACTGAGCTTTTGCAAGATATTTTTGAAATTTGAATACTCACTAGTTCTTGGTTACTTGAAATTAGCTTCACTTCCTGTGATGTGAGGAGGTGAGTGAACAAGGACATATATTTTTAACCACTTTTTTCAAAATAAGGATCAGATTCGATTATTTTGTTTTATCCAAATTTGTGCACAAAAGTGAAGTACGCAATAACAATAGTGCCATTGATTGCGGGATGCTATGTGCATGACTAAAAAGTTGAAGGATGTGACTTCGTTAAGCAAACAAACACCATGACCACTGTGGAAAGCACATTTTATTTTTTCAGCTATATTTCATATATCTTTGAGTGCTGCAGACGCAGCTGAAATGAGCTGTAGGTGAAGGAGTGGACAGAGGTAAAAATATCTGTACCACACAGGGGCAAATCCCTGAAGGGCAAAAGCATAATTTGATCCATGCAGTTTTTGGAGGCATACTTGCTGCCACAGTTTCTGAATGAGCTATACTTCCAGCCCCATCTTGGTGCCTTCTCCAGGACACATCACTGAGGCCGTAAGATGCCACCTTTTTGGATATAGATTCCCATGATTCTTGCTGGCCAGGATTACTGTGTGAGTGAGCTGGTGTCTGCTCTGGGACTGGGATCCTCACAGCAGCTCTCACAGCAGTTCAACGTTTCCGTAAAGTAAAATATTATTTTATACATAACAAAAGTACTCCAAAGGGAAAAAAAACTCCTAAAACAATAAAGAGATTTAATGTTCCCACTGTTCTCTTTAGCATAGGGCGTTCTCTCTGCCTCCTTTGCTACCTAACCCCGAGCAAGGAGCGATTTCTAGGGAAAAGATTGTCAGGGAAGTTCCCATATCCTCTACATCTCTCCTTGGATTTCATTTTTCGTTTCGGGGGGTGGGGAGGGAAGAAATCTTAAGTGGTTATACATCTTCTTGTAATCAAATACAGCAATTAGAGATGGTTTACGTGTTACACTTTTTTTCTCCTAATTTATTTCTGTGCTACCATATTGACATGAGAAATCATGACATCTAACTTTACCGCCATGAACTCTCACTTTGTGACATGAGAAGGCAATTATAGCTGTTTTTGTAGAACCGTGCCAGAAGGCCCTATTCATATTGTTTAGTAAGTTCGCAGTGTTTGCCTCTTTCCAACAACGTACTAGCCGTAATAGTAAATGTGAAGATTTGATTCTCTGGTATCTTTACTTACATCCATTCTTCAGACAGTAATTTCACTACTTGGTCCGATACTAGATTCTCATTTTTCAGGCCAGAGAGATTTATTTGGAAGAATTTCAGCTTTCAAGTACAGAAATTTGGCAGCCAGGGTAGCAATAATGAGGATTTTATCTTAGACGGGAGAGTCTGAAATTCCAGTCTCAGTTACACTTTGCAGCTCCACTAAGCAATTGGGATCCTAGGTTTGTAACAGCAAAATCTTGTGCAGTGTTTCTTAATATCATTCCTTTAGACTTCTCACTACATCTTTAACTCCTTGTTAAGGCCAGGAGTTTATAATGGCAAGGCTGAGCAAGATTTACCATCTCTGAGTTGTGGGGCTTTGCCCACACTTTCCAACAGTTTTGACTAAGTTAGTCTTTGAGACAAACCACCAAGTAAGAAATTCTGTTGTTCCCAAACACTCCCGTAAATCTAGACAGTTGGACAACTTTGTGGATCACCTCTCTGCGATATGTCATTCAAATGTTAAGGCAATGCAATGAAGATATTAAAATATTTTATACTGTTACTGCCTTAGTAGTGTCTCTTGGTCCTGGTCTTCAAAGAGAGCGGATAGTGATAGTGGATTTCAGGTGCATTTATATTACAAACATATGAAAACAGTGGCAAGACCTAATGCTGTAAAAATCGAGTATTCATTTTCAAGAGTTTAAACATGACTACTGTTACTAGTTAGAACGCTGGGTGATTTGCACTGGATGATTTGTGCCCGTTTCAGAATTTGAAGGCTGTATCTTTTCCCACTTGTGCCAAGTCTTAACAGTTTTTTATAAAGTCATTCTACTGACTCTGGTTACAGGAAAAG